GCTCCCGTGACCTTGCCTCTTTTTCCTTCGTCTCTAGCTCTCGTGACCCTAGTCGTTCGACGTCGCGCTTCGCCTCTCGCTCCCGTGACCTCCGTTCGAAGCCGGATCCAGCAGAGCTCAGCCTCTCCCGTCACCAAGCCCTTCGACGCCGGATCCAACAGGGCTTCGCCACTCGCTCCCGTAACCTAGTCGTTCGACGCCAGATCCAACAACGCTTCGCCTCTCACTCCCGTGACAGCCGTTCGACGTCGGATTCAGCAACAGAGAATCCATCGCCGGAATCCAGCAGCGGAGAACCATCTACGAATTCAGTTCTTTCTCGAAGTGGTTCTTCGGGCTTCACTCCTCCACCTTCTTTGGTTTTTCTATAACCTTCTTCGGTTTTCCTCGCTACAGGTATATCTTCTTTGTTTTCCATGGCATTTCACTTTTACAGCGACTTGAGTTATTTTAACTGATTTGGAACTGATTTGAAAAGAATTATTATGGTTGCTACATTTCTTGCTGAGTTGGTTTCATACAGACTGCATCGCCTGCTAGATCGTTTTAATTTTATGCAATATAAAGATAAATTTGATTTTATGCTTTGCAGTATATGTAGTTGGAGACATTATTATGATATGTTTTGTAGCTTAAATATATTTGGAAATTAATTTGATGAGTGATAACCTCTTGTATTCATGAACATTTTTTTTTTATTGTGGGAATAATATAAATGCGACGAGAATATCAATTATAGGAATAATTCAAGAACATTTTTTGGTCTGAGCAGTTATCTTTAAATTTGCTGAGAAAATAACAAATTATGTTGCGCAGATTATTCATTTAATTAAAAAAAATTTACAAATAAGTTGTTTACAAAACGCACTAACCAAACAGCTAAACAGTTTATTCAGAACAGGGGCAGAATGATCAATTTTCCAGAATCAGTTGTTTCCAATAAGCGCAAACCAAACAGTCATACAGCTTATCTGGATCAGCTACTCATCAGCAGATTATCTGGATAAGCGGTTTTCAACAGAAGTTGGATAAGCTGCAGCTGCCCCAAACAGACTAAGGGGAGACTAAGGGTATAATAAGAGCCCATACAAAAGTCAAATGAATCTACACATACTACTACAAAGTATAATAAGAGCCCA